CTTATTTTTATTTAACATATTTTAGTTTTCCACTTTTATTTTTTATTTATTATTATCTTATAAACGATTTCATTTTTTTTGCCCTGCTGGCTTTTGTTCCTTCTGCGATTTTTTTTTACCCAAAACAAGAGGGGCCAGGCCCCCCAGGCCCCTCCACTAGGTCTGCCACTGCTTAAATACATCACTTACATACACTAAACTACAAAACAGGAGTTACTGGGGCTGAGGACAGCTTCCAGTTGGGGTCAGGGTTGCTCTTCACAAAATTTACATTGAGACCCTAAAGGAGACCAATTTTGGCATTGTCCAAGCTTTATTCGACCCCTTAAAGGAACTATTGGAAAACAGACCTATTCAAATAGTATAGACTTATGCGACTAAACAACATAAATTTGTCATCGTTGTAGTTTCATCAACAAGAAAAAATTTGAAAGATCTCACCATCTAAAACAGCATTTTTTTCAAATACAACCCTTTAAGATACCTTGATAGCCTGCCAAACCCTCTGATAAATACATACACCCCTAAGTAAAACAACAAGCCCCCTGCCTCTTAACATGAGAGTCCTTTTCTGGGAAGTGGTCACATTAATGAGGGTTCACTATGCAACTAACTCTCTTATTACAACTATTTGGCATGGGCTGTAGTGCAAAACAGACTCACACAAAAGAACAAACTGACATACTGAAGGGAATGTGGCTTTAGGGGCTGCATCAATTATTGGAATGCTTAGCTGGAGTGTACTCTGCACAACATCATCAGGCCTTGCTGAACCATGTGATAAATATGGCTTTACTGCACAATGCAACAGGCGTGTTTAAAACACAAAATGGCAAAATGATGAGATAGTACTACTGGTAAGAGTCAACATTGGATATGTGTGTCTGTAAGGGTTAACTCTTACAATTATCGAGACCTAACCACTGTGAAGTGGGAGGCGCGGTGGCCTCATGGTTAGTGCGCTCGTCTCCGGATCAAACGGCCCGAGTTCGAGCCCTGGCCGGGGACATTGTGTTGTGTTCTTGGGCAAGACACTTTACTCTCACAGTGCCTCTCTCCACCCAGGTGTATAAATAGGTACTGGCGAACTTAATGCTGGGGGTAACCCTGCGATGGAGTAGCGTACCATCCAGGGGGGAGTAGAAATACTCCTAGTCGCTTCATGCTACAGAAACCGGGATAAGCTCCGGCCTGATGGACCACTTGGCTCAAATGCAGACTTTACCTTAACCACTGTGAAGTAAGTAAAGTTTAGGGCTATGGCTAAACTGGATGCTATCAGGGCTATAACCCAATGATCAAATGGGTGAAATTTACAGCTGTCCAATAAGTTTACAACTCTTGGAAATTGGGCAGGTGTGCTAGGCATGACATGTTACTCATACAACAACCTTCACTTAAAAACTAAGGCTTTTCTTGCTGTTTCCCATGGACATTCACAACATCACTAACGGTAACCATAAATTATATGATTGAGTTAACCAAGCATGAGATCAAGATGACAGAATATATTCCAAGTTACTTTTTAGTTGTTAAAGACTGATCAAGGTCCCCAATCATGCAAAAAAAAAAAAGGACAAGGCCAATATCCAGTCATCTTCAGGATTGATTAATTGGTATCTTCTTGAATTTGGAATTTTCCTGAGTTAAAACTGAGTCTGCATCAAATTCAAGCTGGTGAGTCAAATGCCAGAGTCATGCTGTCTGTCATGGACACATTTGCTAGTTCGAAGAAATTAGCAGCAATGCTACTAAGTAAATTCAAGGGTAAATAAGGTTTATGATGATGATGATGATGATGATGATGAT